GCAGACATTCAGGTTGGCTATCCGCTAAAAATACTGAGCTAAGAACAGGAACCCTTCACACAGGCATTCAACTGGTTTTGCCGAGCCAGCATTCTAGCAAACAAAGGATGTTCTAGGTCCTAGGAGGATAATGAGTTAGGTGGGGACCCCTCCCTACCCACAGGGCCATCTCTGCCCAAGATAAGCTACGATCAGGGATGAATAAAATAAAGAGTGAGCAGGAATAACAAAATCAAAGCCACAGGACTCAGAGCCCTGGAAACAGCCAGCACTGGGCCTTGTATAGAAGGAAAGCCAGGAAGTCAACCATCTGAACAGATCCAGTGGACCTCCATCACCCAGGCTGTCCCTCCATCACCCAGGCTGTCCCCAACCTCTGGGAGTCCACACCCACCTGACTGCTTTAAGCAGCCAGATGGAGGTGGGGATGGATGCTGGCATGCAGCCACCCACGGACCTTCTCCCTGCACCCTCGGATCTGTGATGCCAGGTACTCTTGGCAAAGAGCCCAGCACTGGACAGAGGAGCCAGAGCCAGAAGGAAGAACAAGAGCAATGGGGGAGGGAAAGCAGGTGAGGGGCAAGCACAGAGCCATTCTTCAGAGACTGGGGATGGGGCCTCATTTTGACTTGGCTTCTGTTTATACTGTGCATTCCAGCAAGTTCAACCCACATTGACTGACAACCTACCAGAAGTCAGGCCTCGGGCTGGCAAGGCACCAAGGATAAAGGCGAGCCAGACATGGACTCTGCCTTCTGGGAGCTCCCAGCCCACCGCAGGATGTGGGGTGGGTGACTTTCATGCCACCCAAAGCCAATCAAAGTGTCCAGGGAGAGAAACTGGCAGAGCACTCCTGGGTTTAAAGAAAGGAGACACCCCAGCAGTCCTGAAAGGATCAAGAAAGGCCAGGAGGACAAGGTGGCATGTGGGAGGGCCTTGCGCAGCAAAGGAAGGGCTTTTCTGCCCCAGCTGCTCTGGCCCATGTGACCCGAGCCACACATGCAACTGTATTGTTTAAAAGGATAAAAACCAGCATCTACTGCAAATCACAAAAAGACAAAGACTGTGTGATTCCACTCAGACAGCAGAGTGAGGTCCTTAGGGCAGTCAAGTTCACAGAAACAGAAGGCAGAATGGCGGGCATCAGGGACTCAGGGAGGGGCAGTGGGGAGTGTCCTGTGATGGATGCAGGTCCAGTTTTGCAAGATAAGAAGAGTTCTGGAGATTGGCTGCACAACAATGTGAATATACTTAACACTATTCCACTGTACCCTTAAAAATGGTTAAAATGGTGAATTATATGTTATATATATTTTACCACAATTAAAATAAGCTTTTAAAAATGCAAACCTAAAGGGGAAAAAAATGCTATTTACTGAAAGTCTTCGCATGCTGGCCTCAGAGCTGAGGAAAAAATCAGGCATGTTTCTGTCCTCTGGAAGTTCGCTAACAGGACAGATAAATGCATGTGATGTCTGGGTGGAGAGGAGTCGGGGCTGCTCATAAGGGAGCTGGTGGTGTCCAGGAATCACCCTTTGCCTAGGTAGTCGGGAAAGGCTTGTCAACTGAACAAAAATGCACAACCTGAAAGCTGAGAATTATGTTTTATTTGGTGGACTTTCTGAGGACTTCAAGTCCGGGAATAGTAAGGGAGGAGCCAAGATATATGGGAGTTTTTGCAACAAAGACCAAGCAGTCAGAACATCAAAAGAATACTGGTAATTAAAGGAAAAAAAAAAACCCAGATATCTCAAGTTAAGGAATTTAGCTTTTTTCTGTGTATGGGAAGATGCAAAATCTGGGCTCACTGAAATCATCCCTTTGATGTGCACCTGCGCCATGCAGGGCCAGTGTCCTGTACTTCCCATCTTGAGTCTCCTCAGGGGGCACCTCCCGGGCATGGCAGGCATCCTGTTTCCATCCGGAGTTCCCTCGGGGCTCACCTTTAAAAGTGGTTGCAAGGTGATGGCTTGATGGCTGCAACTTCCTCTGTTTACTGATAGGGCAGGTAATATTCTTCATTCACAGGCTTCACGGAAAAGGTGCCGTGAAACAGGTGGGGCGGGGGCTGTGTATCAGGGTTGGCACCCCACTGGCACCCCTGTTCTAAGCCAGGCACAAAGCTGCTTGGGATTAGCAGTGGGGACGAAGCCCCATCTCTAAGGGTCAATATCTGTATACCTTCCCATCCTTCCTTTCTTGCCTCTAACCCTCTGGTCTACAGCACCACCTGCTCCTGCCACACAGGCCCTCTGCTTGTCACCTCTGGGAGTACCAAGGGGCAGGGGCTGTGTCTGTCCTGCTCACTGCTGAGTCCTCAGGGCTGGCACACAGCAGGTGCTCAACCAGTTTTTCTAGCAAGAGGAACTGGGCTTTTGCTCATGGCATGCCGGCATATCTCCCTCCCTTCTCACTGTTCCCAGACCTACGCTGGTCGAGACCTGGTGTCACAACCCCCAGGCAGCGCTCCTCCATCCCCTTCCTTGGAAATAGCCTCACTCTCAGGGGAGCCATCACTCTGTATCTGTGCCTGCCTTAAACAGTTACTCCATCCTATCCCCCTTAAGAGGGTCTCTGTTCCTACTTCTCCCCTAGAGACCAGGGGACGGGCACCGACATCAGGATGCTCACCAGACTCATCCCACCTTCAGGGTTTTATAACACCATTTAATTCCCACGGCCACCCAGTGGATGGGTATTCCTGCTACCACCACTGGACAAATGAGGAAACTGCGGCACAGGCATTAAAAACAACTAGCCCAAATCACACAGCTGCAGACAGCTGAGTAGGTGTGGGTGACAGATTTCCATGACGACGGGCTCGTCCCAGAACTCGGCCTGAAGGTAACCCTTGGCTGGGTCATCTTTGCAGCAGCCGCAGCAGAAAAGATGAACTTCCCATACGTGTCATAGGAATCAACAGAGCCAGAGGGATGTCAGCCCCTGGCCCCCCTCAGACTTTGGCCACAGCAATGGTGGGCCGGCCATTCCACATGAGCTCAGGCTCAGCTTGTGCTGGTTCCTTTCTACCCTAGAGCTTCTGGTACATCTTGAGCACCTCACTCATCCCCTTTTGCCCAAAAGTATAGGAAAGTCAGTGCCTCCCACAGACAAGATTTCACCAGAGAGGGATGGGAGCCAGGGCATAGGTGTCCACCCTCTTGATCCTTCAGACAGACAATTCCAGGGGACCTTGTCATTGGAATTAGCCCTGGGTGCCCACAATCGTTACCTTGATGACACTGCTCCCCTCTTTTTGACTTTCCTCTTTCCCCGTCTCACTCACCCTGTTCACTCCTGCTTCCTGATCTCACCTCCACAAAAACCACCTGCATGCAAGTCACCATCTAGTGCTCTGCTTCCGGGGGCCTTCCAGATGGCCAGACACCCTAGATTTTTCTTCTCATGGAAGGTTACCGTAACCTCTGACCTGAGTTATTAAGGGTTGTGAAAATCCAATATTCGTAATCTAAAATTAGAGGAGTACCCAGCGATTACTGAGGATGCCAACTCAACTTCCTACTAAGAGGTCTGGCTGCCCTGTAGGGCTGCAAATCCCCTCCTGTGCATGCCCCCTGGATGGTCCCTGGAAGCCCACCCACTTCAGGAAGGGTACTTTGCAGTCAACACATTCTCAAGGTGGCCTTGACTGAGTCACAGCTTCTTCAGGCTTTTAATCTATAAAGGGCTATAAAGTACTGTTCACCTGAGTGATAGATTAAAGAGGGCCACAGGTGCTTTGACACTCCTACTGAGGCGGGAAGCCCCATTAAAAAAAACCCGGCAGGACCCCCAGGCAGGGCCACTACTCTCCTGCCAGCACCATCTGGCTCCCTGGTCCAGCAGCTTTATCTCACTTTTTGCCTCTGACACGGCTAACTTCTAGGAAAGCAGAGCTCACTCCTGATTGGCCCATTTCCCTCACTCCTGATTGGTTATTTCTCTCCTCCTTGATTGGTCCATTTCTACAAATCCTGTTCCTAATTAGTCAACGTTTGTTATACCTCATTTGCATATGATGTTGCAAAGTGTAAACTGGCAGCCAATAAAAGCCTGTGTAAACCTACTAATGGGGTCCAGAGCTTGGAGTGTTAACTCCTCTGGGCCTGCTGGTGTAATAAACCTGAGTTCTCCAATTCTCCAAGTGCTGCTTGGTCTCTTGTCCGGATCCAGGTTACTGTCACAGCTGAGCTGTCACAAGTGAGCTGTAACACCGAGCTGTAACACGTTTTTCTATGACACTACATCAAGAGGTGGATTTCTGCTGCCCCAAATCTGTGCTGACCCGGGACTACTTTGTCCAAGAGAATATGGCGGAAGTAATGCTGTTCCAGCTCCAGGCCCAGCCTTTAAGGAGACTGGTAGCCTCCCCTGGGGCCCTTGGAGTTCTGAGCTTCTGCATAGATGCCTGACCACCTTCCATATAGAGGTACCATGTGGAGAGGGCCTGAGACAACGTGGGGAGTGAGAAGGGCCCAGCTGAGCTCATCATCCCAGCCACCTCCACCAAGGGGCTGGGCAAGTGAAGAACACAGTCTTGGAGCCTCCAGACCAGTCCTGATGAGTCCTGTGAAGAGGAACAGAAGAATCGCCCAGCCAAGCCCTGCCTAATTTCTAACCTGGTGAAACAGAAAAACAAAATGATTGCTGTTTTTAAGCCACTCTGCTTTGGAGTTTCCTGTTACACCGCAATAGATGATTTCGCTTCATCGTTATTGAACTAGTTTGCAGTGCATGGTGAGGCACATTTGTATCAGCAGAATTTGAAGCAATCATTTCCTAAGAATTACTTTAAGATATAGTAGATGCACTGCAATTCAAATCAATCATCCACACCCTCTTGCTGAAGCAAATGTATAACTCATTCCAAAACACAGCACCTACAGCAAACTTCCACGGTCCCGGGCTGCCTGTGACTCTGTGCTATTTCTAGAACTTGCAATGTAAGTGCAATCCACCTTCTAGGCTATTTTCAAATTTATGGATCATTGTGTCATATATAAAGCTGTGCTGATAAGCTCATTACTTTCACTTGCAAATTAAATTACAAGCAATCCATCAACAGAAAAGGCAGCAGCAGTGTAGAGGTTAGGAGTCTGGACTCCAGGGCCAGCTGTCTGTGTTCAAATCTCAAATTGGGAGGAAACAGAAATTACTCCACAGGCAGTGAGGGTTCAGTGAGCTGGTGGGTCCAGTGCTTAGCACAGCACCGGGCTCATGATCAGCCCAAAAAGGCTATTGCAACGTGTTTATTTTGTTCCCTTCAATTTCATATTATCATCTAGTTCTTTCTCCACCAAAGATAGGGAAACATACTAGGAGATCATGGGATGTCTGCCCTATAGCATTTAACATGGATGTGGCCCATACCCAGCCTTCGGGGAATCTCTGTGGAATCAACTGATAGACACCCAATGAATGCATACTTCCCTTAGACCTCTGACATCCTTCAAACAATTTCTTCAGCTCTGGATTATTCCAGAGCAACAAGTACATGACGGTTTGGGCCCAGAGAACAGATGCATCCAACCCACCTGCCTCTGAGTCCCTGAGCTCCCGTCCCCTTGCTGGCTTCCACGGTCAAGTTATCCAGTGACGTCTGCACCACGCCTCCCATGGCGTCCGCCAGCCTGGGTACGAACAGCGCATTTTCTGAGCAGGACAATCTCTGAATCCAACTGAGAGGCTTGGACCGGGCCAGGTGTGCAAGACTCAAATTAGCCATTTGCAAACACTTATCATAGTCTGAAATGTGGGAGGAAAAGATACAAGTAAGTACTGACAAGAGTGACACCGGCTCCATCACTCCTGTGGCTGCAGCACATCTGGGCCCCAGGTCCTGTTCCAGCTTGTCTTTGTCTGCACAGAGGGGCCTGTTTTTCTTCATGCTGGCTCGTGATTGGGTTCCTGTGATTAGCCCTGGGAATGTCACGTATTCCTAATTAGCACTCCCTCGTGGCAGAAACCCCAGACACACAGGAAGGAGGACATGGGATGCTCCCTATCCCCTGGCAACAGACAGGACATGGAGCCACAGATCAGATGGGCGCTCACCTGGGGGCAACCACGCCGTATCACGGTGCCCACAGAACCTCGTATAAAATGAAGCACCACCACCCATTCTGCTCGCCGCCTTTACAAACCACCCTCCAAAGGTTATCTTAACAAACAGGTCTGCGCATTACACTCTGCCCTGTGGGACGTCACCTTTCATCTCTACACAGCTTAGCTGCCCTGGGAACAACATTTAAGATTTGATTTTCTGAAATAGGAATACGTATCAGATGTGCTGCGTCTCCCAGCTTTGACACGTCCCTTCCTCCCTTCATGCAGAAAGAGGTGACAAGTGATGCAAATGAAATCCCCAACATGAGACAGTGACTGTGAGTGACTCACCAGTCGCTCTTCATGTCATTCATGAGAACCTGGATTTGACAGACAGATTCCTGAATTAACCAGGATTCATACAAAGCCCAGTTTGTATTTTAAAAAAGGGAATGATGGCTATATTCTGACCATCTATCTGTTCCTTGTTAAACCTGAGAAGGAAAGAATACTCAGGCACGTGGCGCTTGTGTGGCTCCAGTTGTGTGTGTGTGTGTGTGTGTGTTGTGTTGTATGTTTGTGTGTATGTGTGTCTTTGTGTGCGTGTTGTGTGT